CATCATATGATTGGTTTTATGGCACATTTCCAACAGTGCATAGTTCAACTTATAAGGAATGCAAAGATTTTTATAAGTGTGTGACTACAAAATTGGGCAAAGCCTCAAATTTTTAGTGGTTAAAAGATATGATCAGACTTGGCAAAAAGTGAAAACGAAAGAAAAATAAGGAAGCTAAGCAAAACTGCTTTCATTCAAGAATCCAACCAATTTCAGAAGTACGATAATTTTTTTTGGAAGAGAATGCAAAATATCTCATTCATGAAAGCAATAAATATAAAAAGTACAAATGAAGAACATGACCCCCAATAGGAGGGTACTTGAGTTGATGGAACTAAATCTGAACATGTTTTTATTAACTTTATGAACTTGTTTTGATCTTAGTTGTTTGCTTTTCGAGCTATTTTGATGTGTTTGTTAGTGATTTCAGGTTTAGGGAAGCAATGAAGCAAAACAAAGAAAGTGTTAGAGTTTTCTTACTCAAACTAGGAATGTGACATTTCCGTATTCCACTTGGAAACGGTGTTTCGTATTTCTCTAAACGATAGGAAAGATTTTGATTCAAGAAGAGTGTGGAAAGTTCCCAACTCAAAATCCAATTTCTTTTGGCTATCCCATATCGGTGAGGGAAAGAAGAAAGAAAGAGTTTACATATGATTACCCCACTCTAACTAATAGCAAGGTTTTTTGTGACAAAACTCCACGCTTGACTGATTGAGCATGTGATAATAACAAGTTGGGGACAGTTAGAGTGATGCCCCCAACTTGTGAACCTAAAAAATTCTACAAATTCCAATTAGGAATCCTACTATGACGAGGAAAGAAGAAGCTTCCGAGAGATTGCCTCAAATCGTGTTGCTAATTTAGAAACCCATGGCGATACCTAATTGATAGAGTTCTAAAGCTCAAGGAGGTCCAAACTGACCTCTTTGGGCATGCATATCAGGTCTCAGTGGGAATCAACTTTCCTATTCCTTGTTTGAGAAGAAAAGCTAAGTTCCATAAAGAGTGGGATTGTTTTCCTACACAAGTTAGGGTTTTCTCCTTAAAAAAACAGTATTTTCTGCAACTTTTATACATCCAACCTCGCAGAAATCAGGAAAGAGAGAGAAAGAGGGAGGGAGAAGCTAACAGGCTTGCTGCCACCAAAAATCATACCATTGTCTCTTCCACCATCCTTGCCGCTGCGCTCACTGGAAATTAGATGCCATTGATTTTCTCCCAGGTTTTTATCACCTTTTCATCTTTAATATTTTCATATGACTATTATGGATGTTTGTATTTTCATAACTAGCTTAACTTTTTCTCAGGGTTACAATGTACGCTAACATGACAGTTTCAAGTTTTCCAGCATGAATGTCTTCGAGTTTCAGATTTGGTTTATGTTCTTCTTATTCATTAAAATTAAAAGTTGATACGCTTGTTGATTGCTTGACCACCATGAATACTTGTTCGTCAACTATTTGGGTTAGAATTAAGAGTACACATCATGCCTTAATTTTGACGTATGAAACACTAAATCATGCTCAAGTTTCACATTGACAAGACTAGGCACATTTATTTTTCAAGTTGATTGCTGGAAATCACAGTTAACACAAAGACAAAAGAACTTAGACTTCTTGAAAGTAAGAGGGAAATTAAGATCAAATCTCATCATTGAATTGAGAAGTAGCTACAAACAACAGCAAAAATGCAAATTTTTTTTTCTTTTTTTTTTAAACAAGAAGTAAACTAATGAAATATATTTCCACCCCCAAACTTAATTATAGCATTGTCCCCAATGATAATGAAAGGAATTTTGAACAATAAGACATAAAAATGGAAGGAAAGAAATACAAAATGAAATAAAGACACATAAAGAAAAGGAAAGAACACACCAATTTGTGTAGGCGAGGAGAACAGCAGTAAAAATGCATTTTTTTTGTTCCGTGGTAGAATTCCAAATCATCCCCAAACTTGTTTCAACACGTCCCATTATGCATAACAAATGTGTGAGTAACCCGTGGGATTAAGAAACTTTTCAAGAAGTTGTGGTAGAGACTGCAAAATCATTACTAGCATAAGGGAGCAAAAGTAGGACTTAAACACACAAACCAGAAAACAGGAGAAAAACAGAACAAGAACATTTAAAATTTATTCAAACTAAAGATGAAAGATAGAAAGCTTGGGTTGCCTCCCAAGAAGCACTTTAGTTACTGTCTAGAGCTAGACATTCTGTTGGCAGTTTGATTCAAATAACAGGTTCCTTCAAAGTGATGGAATCCTTAGCAAGATCATATGGAGACTCCTTGTATAACTTCAAGCGATGTCCATTAACTTTGAAGACAAAACCAATTTGCATGTTTTGGATATCCATAGCCCCATGAAGATGGACCTGTACAACACGATATGGACCATTCCAATGTGATTTGAGCTTTCCTGGGAATAGTTTCAATCTCGAATTAAAAAGCAAAACCTTCTGACCCGGTTGAAACTCTTTACGAAGGATGTGAGCATCATGAAATTTCTTGGTCTTATCCTTGTAAATCTTTGCATTCTCATAAGCATCATTCCTTATTTCTTCCAGTTCATTTAACTGCAGCTTCCGCTTCTCTCCAGCTGCCTGGTAGTCAAAATTGAGGTGCTTAATAACCCAATATGCCTTGTGCTCAAGTTCCATAGGCAGATGGCAAGCTTTCCCATTCACCAAACGAAAAAGAGACATCCCAATTGGTATCTTATAAGCTATCCTATATGCCCATAAAGCATCAGTAAGCTTTAAACTCCAATCCTTTCGAGATGAACTGACAGTTTTCTCAAGAATCCTCTTGAGCTCACGATTAGATACTTCAACTTGTCCAGATGTCTGTGGATGGTATGGGGTGGCTATGCGATGGTGAATATGATACTTGGCACAAAGGGCATCCATGGTGCGGTTTAAAAAATGCGTACCTTCGTCATTGATGATAGCACGAGGTATTCCAAATCGGGGAAAAATAGAATTCTGCAAGAAACCTAACACCACAGAACTTTTGCATGTTGGAGAAGCTATTGCCTCCACCCACTTAGAGACATAATCAACCGCCACCAAGATGTAGAGATTGCCATGTGAAGAAGGGAAATGTCCCATGAAGTCTATACCCCAGACATTAAATAGTTCAATCACCAAAATACTTTGTTGGGGCATCTCATTTCTTTGAGAAAGATTGCCAACTCTTTGACACTTAACACAAGCCTGGCATCATAGGTATGCATCTTTGAATAAAGATGGCCAAAAGAAACCACTCTGTAAGATCTTGGCCGCAGTATTTCTTGGTCCAAAATGACCACCACATGCATAATGGTGAGCAAACTTCAAAATGCTTTCTTGTTCTTCTAAGGGGACACATCGACGAATGATTTGATCTTGTCAATGCTTGAAAAGGTATGGCTCATCCTAAAAGTAGTGTTTTACAGTGGAGAGGAACTTCTTCCTTTATTGGTAACTGAACTTTGATGGTATTTCTCCAGATGCCAAATAATTTGCAATGTTAGCATACCATGGTACTTGATGAGTAACTGCTAAAAGTTGCTCGTCTGGAAAGCTCTCTTGCAGGGGCAATGAATCTGCCTCATCAGTGCTTGCATTTACTAATCTTGAGAGACGATCCGCCACAACATTCTCAAGTCCTTTTTTATCTAGGATTTCCAAATCAAACTCTTGCAAGAGAAGGACCCATCGAATCAATCGTGGTTTGGCCTCTTTTTTAGACAATAAGTACTTGAGAGTAGAATGATCAGAATACACAATGACTTTAGCACCAATTAAGTACGATCGAAACTTTTCAAGAGCAAATACCACTGCAAGTAATTCTTTTTTCGTAGTGGTATAATTTAGCTGAGCATCATTCAAAGTGCGGTTGGCATAATATATAACATGGGGGAGCTTGTCACGTCGTTGACCAAGGACAGCACCCACAGCATAATCGGAAGCATCACACATGAGCTCAAAAGGAAGGGTCCAATCTGGAGCTGTTATAATTGGGGCTGATGTGAGAAGATTTTTCAATTTGTTGAAAGCATCATGACAATCTGCATTAAAATCAAAACAAGCATCTTTAGCAAGTAAATTACAAAGAGGACGACTAATTTTGGAAAAATCCTTGATGAATCTTCGATAAAAACCAGCATGTCCCAAGAAAGATCTCACATTCTTCACAGAAGTTGGTGGTGGTAATTTGGCGATCACCTCAATTTTTGCCTTGTCGACCTCTATTCCTTTGCTTGAAATTAGATGTCCTAGCACAATGCCATGCTTAACCATAAAATGGCATTTCTCCCTATTTAACACAAGATTAGTCTCCCTGCATTTTTCCAAAACCAAAGACAAGTTATCCAAACATATATCGAAAGAATTACCAAAAACAGAAATCATCCATAAAAACCTCAACAATATTTTCAACCATTCCGGAAAAAATACTCATCATGCATCGTTGGAAAGTGGCAGGGGCATTGCACAATCTAAATGGCATTCGTCTGTATGCAAATGTACCAAAAGGGCATGTAAATGTTGTTTTCTCTTGATCCTCAGGGGCAATTGGAATTTGGTTGTACCCTGAATAACCATCTAAGAAACAATAGAAAGAATGACCAGCTAGTCTCTCGAGCATCTAATCAATGAATGGCAGCGGAAAATGATCATTTCTAGTGCTGTTATTGGGCTTTCTATAGTCAACACACATTCGCCATCTGGTGGTCATCCTTGTAGGCACAAGCTCGTTGTTATCATTCTTCACCACAGTAATACCAGTTTTCTTTGGAACCACCTGAGTCGGGCTCACCCATTTGCTATCCGAGATTGGATAAATGATACCTGCATCGAGTAACTTCATCATCTCAACTCTTACAACTTCCTTCATGATCGGATTTAGACATCTTTGAGCTTCAACAGTTGGTTTAGTCCCAGCCTCCATAAAAATCCCATGCATGCACAAAGCTGGACTAATGCCCTTTATGTCAGCAAGTGTCCACCCCAAAGCATCTTAATACTTGCGAAGAACTCTTAGTAATTTGTCTTCCTCCGTGTCATTCAGATCAGCAGCAATAATAACAGGCAAGGTCTCGTTCACCTTAAGATGAGCATACTTAAGGTGGCTCGGTAGTAGCTTGAGCTCTAACTTCGGAGCTTGCTCACTTGAAGGAAGAATGGGCTGCTTAGGCACTCCAAGGCTTTCATAAACATGTCGCCACTTTGGATTATGAATTGGTACACTATCCAATGCAGCAATGACGTCCACCATATTTTCTTCCATAGATAAAGTAGCATCATGGTTGGTGAGGCAAGTTAACAGCTCATCGTTAGATGATCGAGAGGCAAAGTTTGCATGCACAATCCCATAAAATCGAGATGACGCTTGATAGCTTCAAAGAGTTTGAATACAACTGACTCTCCTTGCACTCTTAAGGTTAAAGTACCTGCTTCCACATCAATAAGTGTCCGGCCGGTGGCTATGAACGGTCGGCCTAAAATGAGAGGCACTTCTTTGTCTTCCTCCATGTCAAGTACAATGAAATCAGCTGGGAGATAGAATTTATCCACTTTAATAATCACATCTTCCAGAATACCCAAAGGATAGGTCACGGACCTATCTGCCAATTGAAGACTCACAGATGTGGGCTTGAGTTCTCCTTCACCTAATTTTTGAAAAACAGAATAAGGCATAAGGTTAACACTTGCTCCTAAATCAATCAATATTTTATGAAAATCAAGACTACCAATAGTACAAGAGATAGTGAAACTCCCTGGATCTATGTTCTTGGGTGGTAGCTTATGTAAGAGGACAACACTACATTGCTCAGTTAAAATCACCTTCTCGTATTCCAAGAAATTTTTCTTTTTAGAACATAGCTCATTCAGAAATTTGGCATATGATGGGATCTGTTTAATAGCATCTAATAGAGGCAAATTAATTTGAACCTTAGCCAACATCTTCAGGAATTCAATGCATTGTTGATCCTTGGAATATTGTTGCTGTTGTTGTGGAAATGGCAAATGTGGCTTGTATGGTGGCTTGTCAGAAGGTGCAAATAAACTACCAAGGCCTTTTTCCTTATTTGCATCAAAGTTGGGTCGAGATTGCACTTTGTCACTTGCACTAGGATCTGGAATACCTGTTGCAGAAATAGCCTCTGACCGAGACTTTGCAGCTAACGGTGCACTTTCAACAAGCTCTTCTTCTTCCACTTCGGCTTCATGGTGCACCACTTATTTGTTGTCAGAGCTCTTGCCACTTCTCAATGTCTGTATTACTTTGCAATGCTTCATCCCTTTTGGATTTTGCTCAGATTGGCTCGGGAACTATCCTTTCTCTCTTTCATTGAACATGGTAGCAAGCTGTCCAACTTGAGTCTCCAAATTCCCCACTGATGCCGTGAGATTCTGAATGCTAGTTTATGTGGATTGGACAAAATTGTTGGTGCTATTAGAGAGAGCGGACATATGTTGAGCTAGCTATGACATTTGATCTTCAAGAGATGGTTTCTTAGTCTCACTAGTTGATTGGTAAGACTGTTGGTATTGATGTGGCTATTGGTTGCCACCCCAACTAAGATTGGGATGGTTCTTCCACGCAGGATTATATGTATTGGAATAAAGGTCACTTCTAGGTCTAATGAAATTATTCACCATATTCACATGCTCTTGTACAAGCTCAGGGTAGCTATCCTTGTTGGGGCATTGAGTGATGTCATGAGTTGTCTCACTACAAATGATGCAAGCTTCTTGGGCATTGGGCATGGAAGAGACCTGGATTAAGGCAGCAAACTTGGCATTAAAATTCTTTTCCATTTTAGCAATTTGAGCAGAAACATTAGGAGAACTCTAAGAAATCTAAAAAACTCCCTTCTTTTGTGTTTGTTCTTCTGTCCATTGTTGGGATTCAGAAGCCATCATATCAAATAACTCAAATGCTTCCCTTGCTGATTTTGACATTAGTGACCCTCCAGCAGATGCATTCACTTGACTCTTGGTGGTGGCATTGAGACCATCATAAAATATGTTCATTTGAAGGTTAGAATCAAACCCAGCATGAGGACATTTTGTGTACATCTCATTATACCATTCCCAAGCTTCATGGAAAGACTCATTTGGCTTTAAAGCGAAAGCTAATATCTCTTTCTTGAGTGAAAGAGTCTTGGAAGAAGGAAAAAACTTATTGAGAAATTTTTCTTGCAATTCTGTCCATGTTGTAATGCTATTGGCAGGCAGAAAATGCAACCACGCCTTGGCTTTGTCCTTCAAAGAGAACGGGAACAAGCATAACTTGATAGCTTCAAAAGAGAAACCTCTGATTATGGTGTTGTCACATGCCTCAATAAAATCAGCCAAATGCATGTTGGGATCACTATTTAGCAACCCATGAAAGGATGGCAATATGTTGAGGATGTGAGGTTTGATTTCAAAGGTTGTCCCATCTTCCACATCTGGATATATAATGCACCTTGGCACTGCATTGACTCTCGCTGCCAATGGATTCCTTAAAGGTTGACCTGCTGTAGGTAAGGCTAGGGCCATGTGTGCAATTGGTGCCAAAGGTTGGGAAATAGATGTGCTGCTCTCAGGATCACGGAACAAATCCTTAAGAAAAGTATCACCAAGGTTGGAATCTTGTGCTAAATATTTTTCTCTAGCTAACTTCCTTGCACTTCTCTCTGGTTCTGGGTCGTAAGGAATAAGCACTTGATTCTTGGACCTTGTTCTTATCACCATATACTACACCTGAACAAACAACAGAAATATTAAGCCACAATAAAAATAAAAGTAAAATAAAATAAAACTTAACAGAAACTAACTAAACAACAAAAAGGAAAAGAAAGTAAGTAAACCTAGATGAATCAAAAACACAGTTTATGCAAATTGGCAACCACTAGTTAGTTAAACAAAGACAAAAATCTCACACCACACATCCACTGCACTTAATCAAAGATCGAAACTCAACTAAATTAATTGCTGTTTTTTAATGATTAATAAAAATAAGACATAAACATAAGCATAAGAACAATAAACACAAAAGCTCAGGAACTGTTGGCACAGTCCCCGGCAACGGCGCCAATTTCTTGATAGCGATATTACTACTTGTAAAACAAGGGTTAAACCATAGAAAATTCTTGCAAGAGAACAAGTGTTTGTAGTATAGAATGGCTCAAGCAAGGTCGATCTCCTCAGGGACTGATATAAACAATTTACGAGTTTTTGTGTATTTAACTTATTTAACTCTAAGAACTACACTAATTTGACGAAACTAAATACTACTGGATGTGACTTAAACAAATATCTAAAATGGGAATTGGCTTATAGGAATAGTGATCCAACTAAACAAAACAAGTAAATATATAAACTCAAGATAATACAAATAATTTAAGAAAATTAGATTGACAAGGTGCTAGAGTTCAACCTTTTACCAACAACACTCCTACGTAGCTCTTCCAATTGCTTAAGTAATCGAAAACATATATGCTTTGAAGGTTGGGTTTTCCTTGTGTATGTTTTACTTGTGACATTCAAGTTAAAACGCATACCACTACATGCAATTTATCCATGACATTTGGATTAAATATAAACATGAATGAATCATTAATCTTGATGAAAATCCTTTTGTTAAACCATGTAATCCCTAAGAGTATGATATTTACCTTAGGAGAAATTACAATCCTCAATCACAAGAAGCATAACCAATTTTAACGTGACATTCGTTCAAAATTGCATCCAATGACTTTTCTAAGCATCCTAATGGTGATCGATCATCAAGACACATAGATAGTTTAATTTAGAGATTGAAAATATCAAAGCAAGCATGTAACAACACTTGAGCAATTGAAAGAGAAATCTACGTAATCATGTTGCGGCTCATGGCCTCACTCTAGCAAAAGGAAATTAGTTATACATAATTATTTGAATACATAAGAAATTATCCATGAAGAATCAAAGAAAGAGACAACCCTTTTTTTTTTACAAGGAAGCTATCTCCTGAGCTCTCCGATCCTTTTGGAGCGGTGGATCCCTTCTGCTTTCTGCTATGTTGCTCTTGCAACTCTGTCCGTTCCTCTTCTTCTTCTCTGCTCTCCCTTCTTTTGCTCTCTGCCGTGTGCCTTGTGTCTTTCCCACTGCCAGTCTGTGTGTTTTCTTTTCTTGCCTTTAACAAAAGGCAGCTCTTTTCCAAGTCACTAAGGCCACAAGTGGAAGACAAGCCTCATCCCACTTCCTAGTGCTCCACTTTATCCTCACTCCCCCACTTTGCTTTCTGATTTCTTTTTCAAACACCACCCGTGGAGACAAGCTCCACTTCCAATTCTTTTGTTTGTTTTTATTATTTCCTTTTCTCCTTTTTGCTTGAAATTGATCCTAAAGAAAATTTAACTGCACACTAACATAAGGTAAGGTAAAATGCAACCATTTTAACACAAAAATATCACAAAGACTTTAGAAATGGATGATATAAATGCATGAAATATATGAGTGATCAGTACACATCATGCCTTAATTTTGACGGATGTATGAATAAGATGAATGAGTATGACTGGTACAAATCCATGCTTGAGTGCTTGTTTGGTTGTTATGTTCGTAATGGATTATGGTTTTATGTTACAAATTAAGACTAGGTTAGGTTTAAATCATAATACACGATTTTGATCAAAATGGCTTACTCATATCTTTGAGAAAACCAACCCTTAATTCTGAGTATGAACTTGTTAGCTGATGTGTTTGATTGCTTGGAATTGAATTGTCATGGCGAAGTTGTTGAGAAGTCAACGATATCATCCATGATATCTTGGCTTAGTTTAGGAAACTATTTTGTAATTATTTATAACCCTAGAATGTAGGCTAGATTACTTCCTTGGTTAGGATTCTCATTGTATAAAGTTTCCTTGTATCAATAGAAGAAAAACACTTTTGCAAAATATCCTTTGCTCGATTCTTTACATGGTATCGAGAGCTAGGTTTTAACCTAGCTTTTTCCGTTGCCTTTTATCTTGCTATTTTCACATAGCCTTTTTTTTTTTTTTTTCTTCCGTCTACTGCCATGGCCACTGACGTGATTTCGCCAAGGCTAATATTTCCAACCCATTATTCATCCATCATTCCGATCATCCATCCATGATGTTGGTTTTGAAACCCCTGAATGGGGATAATTATTCTACCTGGTCTCATGCTATAAAGATCTCACTGAGTGCCAAAAACAAAATTAGCTTTGTTGATGGCACTGTCATGCAGCCTTCCATTAAGACCAAGTCAGACGATCATGCTTTGTGGTAAAGATGCAACGACATGATCATTGGATGGATTATTAATTCCATTGACTCGGATATTTCTGACAGTATCATTTTGTATGACCGATGCTCATGCAATTTGGGAGGAATTGCGTGAGCAATATTCTCAAAGTAATGCTCCCTAAATTTTCCAACTGCAACGGGACATTGCTTCACTTACACAAGATCAACTATCTATTACTACATACTACACGAAGATGAAAAGTTTGTGGGATGAGTTGTCATCCTACAATGACTCTGTTTCTTGCACTTGTGGAGCACAATATGAGATGGACAAGTTAATGCAGTTCCTCATGGGACTGAATGACTCCTATAGTGCCGTTCGAGGGTAGGTCTTGTTGATGAATCCTCTACCTACGGTTTGTCAGGCCTATGCATCCATTTCCCAGGAGAAGCAAATGAGCCTTGCTTCTTCACTAGTTATTGCAGACACAACAACCATGGTAGTTCATCAAGGTGGCTTGAAGTTGTCTTATTCTTCAGGCTCTTCTAATTGCAAACCTTTGCATTGCACTCATTGCAATCAAGATTGCCATATGATTAATACATGTTATCAACTTCAACGATATCCACCAGGTCATCGTTTGCATAAGGTTAAGCCACAAAAAGGGAACAACCGTCCCAAGAAGAAAATGAGTTCTTCCTTGGCTAATCAGGTCTCAAAAAATGCAGCCACCAAGAAGAAGATGCAGTATGTCATGTATGGACTTTCTGACGTCCAGTTTCAACAAATTCTTTAAATTATGAATGGCTAGGGAAGTGATGTGCCACAGGACAATGCAACTCAGACAGGTTTGTCCAAATCACCTTTGCACCTCCATCGATGGATAATCGATAGTGGTGCAACATATCATATCACTTCTTCACTAGAATTGCTTACTGATGGTGTTGAAAATATGAAAATGTCTCCCTTTAAAGTTGCCTCTACTTCTAAGGCCAAATATTTCATGACCATTGTAAACGATTATTCTCGTTTTACATGAATTTTTCTAATGCAACATAAAAATGAAACACAACATATCCTTAATAATATTTTCACCTTTGTCAAAACTCAATTTAATACTTTTATTCGCCAAATATGAGTCGACAATGGGGGGAATTTTTTTCACTCTGCCACCCTCTTTTTTGATCCTCTCGCCAATGCTCCACATGTGGATTTCCTTGCATCGCCACCTTCAGACAATGCAGTGCTTGCCACGCCATTCTCATATTTCAGTGCCTGTACCACCCATTGAACCTACAACCGTTAACCTTCCCTGCTAGCACTTGATGTGCCTTCCCTTGCTCCAACACCGGTGCTCCGTTTCTCTGGCCATCACTCTTCTCCATCATCCAAGTTGCGTGACTATATTTGCCCTACTGTCAAGCTTACCCAACCAAGTTCTTCATCGCCTTTGTTGTCTAGTCACACCTCAGCTACATGGTATCCACTTGCTAATTAACTCACTTATCATCGTTTCTCACATACACAACAATCTTTCCTCGCAAATATTGCTCTTTAGGTTGAACCTCGGACTTATA